GGCGGCGTATGCGTGGCGGTCTCGTGGTGACGGTGCAGTATCGGCCTTCCTGCAGGAAAAGCGCGGGGAAATGTCGTTCAGATGGTTTCCGACGCGTGGCGCGTTTTTTTTTCAAATGAGCTCCTCAAATCCAAAGGCCAGAATTTGTCGTACTTAAATTAGGCTGTACTGTACATCTGTATTTTTAGAATTATACGAGGCTGTACGGTACATCGGTAATTTTCAGAGATTTTAAAATGACGGTAAATTTGCAAGAAAAAAAATATAACGAAACTTTAAGGGTGCTCGAATTTTGAAGCAACCTTATCTGGACCTTTTCTGTAATTGTCTTATGGTGCTTGAACTACTTTGCACTAAAAGTAACTTGCTGTTCATTTATATATATTATCTGTCTTATTAGCGCTCTAAATCAGTCGTTTAGCAAATAAATTGGACATCTTAGTTGGTTTCCACAATACCATACCATAAAATCTCCGACTTTATCCTTATGTACCAAAAAAATGGTACATAAGGATAGGTAACTCTAGAGATAAATATATAAATTTTAACAGTAGATGTAGTGGTCCATATCTTAAACTTCGCATTTCTAAAATAAAAGATTGGAAGAGCGAGGAGGGCGGCAACCAGCAGGTGGGACGGCGGTGCGATCGGCGGGCGGGTGCAGTGTGCTGAATGGCAGGGCGGCGGCAGAGTGGCGGCAGGACGACAAAAGGGTAGTAGCAGAGAAGGGAGGGCAGAGGGACGGAAGGAGGGCGTCAGTGGGGCAGCAAGACGGCCGAGAACGAGCGGGACGGGCCGCAGCATAGTGAAAGCAGACTAGGTTCATGTCGAGGGAGCGGTCCTAGCGGCCATGGTACAGGGACTTGGCCTCTAGGACCCTAGTATAAAGTAAATTACTAGTTTGCGTGCAGCGCATGCTATAATAATTGGCGCATACTATCTACTTCTGCTATAAGTGCATGTATCAACATCGTATTGCTACTGTAATATCTGCTTCTTCTTAAAAAGCGTAAATATATTATTACATGCATTCTCTTAAACGCCATGGATTGCAATGATTGCACCGGTCGGATAGGTCGGATAGGTCGGATAGGTCGGATATATAATGATATGCGAGAAATATGCAAACATCTTGAAATTTGTAGGGACATATATATATATATATATAAATTTCCTTGCCCCTCCGACCCGATAACGTCGGAGGGGGCTCAGATGACCACCCTAACCCTTATCGTTTCGATTGGTCGACAGGATTTTGTAAATATTATGATTGGCTATCTTACAAAATAAAATTGATGACTGGTTATTAATGCTCATACTAAAACCTAGTATGGTCGGAGAATTGATGATATTCATCCATATATTTGCTGAATATCCGACAGAGCCCGCCAGAATGGACTTAGTCGAGCTCAAGTATGGCAACAATAATCGTGCGAGGGCAACAGTCATCAAACTGTTTAACACACTTGTGAAGAGTGAAAATATTGAGTTTGACAATGTTAAACAATGCATTGAGGACGATGGTACACGTAAGTATTTTGTGTCTGTGTTAGACAAGTTCCGGATGTACCCAGCATTTAACGAGGGCAAGAAGGGCAAACCTCTTGCCCGGAGCACCTCAATACAGTGCTATAGACAAACTTAAATGTGATTGTTTGAGCTCTTCCCTGCACAACAACACATTGTCGAAGCAAAGTTGTTAAGCATGGGGAAGACGCTCGATAGCTTCTGTATGAAGCGAAACAAAGCGCCACTGAGCTCAAGGTTGATTTAAGAAAAATGATGCTGTATATGTACACGGTCCCCAGCGTCATCCTGATTGACATTCTGCCCGTACTTCTGGTCGAGACCGGTGTTTTCTTGTCCCCAGCCACGTCATTGCTGGAGGTCTCGAGGCACCCCGACGCGTCTGGAACTCTCAGTGTCGTCGCCGATCGCATCACTACTGCTGTCGACACGGCCCCGACCATCTACCCGCACGTCAACCGCTTGCTTGACCGGATAGCTGGGGCTTCTGGCATAGCTGCCACTCTTGTTTCGCGGCGGTGGCACTCGGCACGTAAACGGTGGTGACAGACTTATCCATCGCTGGATCTTTGACCGTGGTGCCTGGAATATGAACACGACAACAAGTGGTTTAATTACATCTTCAATACGGGCAGGAAGGATCACATGGTCAGCCAGGAGCTCAGCGGCTACGCCACCAAGGCAATGGTGAAAGCGAAGGGCTTGAAGCCCTTCCACGCCAAAACCCAGGGCAAACTGGCTTCGATACAGCGTCCTGTTCTCGACCTGTTACATGCTGGAAAGGTCCAAGTACAACACCAGTCAGCCAGTTGTTGATATCCTCACGGCTTATCTTACCTCAGGATGAAGGAGCTGCGGACAGAAGGCATCGTTGTTGCGCGTCTTGAGTCCGCTGTCCTCGTCAGCGGAACTTCGATCACGGAGCTTTTTGCGTGGTCGTCACACTTGACCACCTGTGGAAACGAAGGGAGCATACCAAAGTCCCAACGGCATGCCGCCACACGAGGAGCTGAGAGGCCAGAACAAGACCATCGAACGCCAACGCAGTGTTATTGACCAGTTAATCCACCACATCAAGCGCCAAAATGATCACATGAACAACCTAGAAGCTAGAGTGAACGACGGGGCACCACAGGATAAATAAGGAACACTTCAGCAGGAACCCACTCAAGAAAAAACAAACAAATCCAAGCGCAGGCGGTCGTCAGTGACTTACCTCTACGCTACGTGGTAGGCGTGGTATATGAAGAAGCCACGATAGATGAAGGATGCTCTCAACAGCAATCCAGATCAAAGCAGCTTGTCGCTTTCATGAACCTCTTCTTGTCCGACGGCTTCATCCTTGATCCAAGCGCATCCGACTATCGCGACCAGGCTCTCACGTTAGGGGAGAAGACAGAGCTCGTGGTGCTAGCCTTTTTCAGTGCCCACGAGGTCCCATCGCTTGGTTTTACCCCTGACTGTAAGCACCTTCGCGACCTCTACGCTGCAGGTGCTCTTATGAATCTGATCGCGCGCCATCGCAAGCAGATCCATGCCGGCGATATCCAAGACCCCGATCGCAGCGACCTACTTGAACCAGCGGCTAGGGCTCTTTAACAGAAGGCTCTTGTACGCTGTTCACTGACTCGGGTGGAAAACAAATTCATTGCAAGAATGTGCCACGCGCTTCAATGACTGGGTGGTGGAATCTACAACAGTTGCTTATACCGTATCGTCGTAGCCGCAAGCGTCATTTATTCCTAAGAGTCAGCTGCAAAGGTTCCAATCAGAACCAGCCATTTTCCTGCAGATAATTTTGTTAATTACCGAAAGAGCACATTGAAAATTTTAGACTCAGTGCAGGTAAAACAACAACTCATAAGAAGTCAGACCTCAAAGCACGCTTGCCAACCAAGAGAATCATGACCGCCCTCGTATAAATGGCCAGGGCAAGAAACGAAAGTCATATCAACGCACGGCTGTGGAATATGCTTACAAACGTGATGTTCTTAGCTACATTGAGGACGGTCACACAATTGTTGAGACCATTAAAAACTTCTATGGCGAGTTAAAGGAAAATGAAGTTCGGGCTAAAAAAGACAGATCAATAAGTGAATGAAGCAGAAAGCAATAAATCTGCATGTGAATCTGTCAGGGGACATCATCTCAACCTGCGCAGTCTTGGCGACGCGACTGAACTCAGCAAGGACGCCGAATCTTCCATCGTTCTTTGGCTGAACTCTCTGAAGAAGGAAGGGTCCCCCAGTCTCTCGTCTCATGTTACAGCTCTACGCTAAAGACATAGCGACTAAGGTCGGACTTGGAGACGAATTCGCTACAACGTCGACATGGAATAAGCTATTTCTTCGACGCCACTAACTTCCACTTCGGGCGCGTACACGACAGGGACAAATGACGCCCATGAGACTAAAAAGTGTTCAGGGCGCAGGTGCTACAGACAATTGTGGGGAAAAACTGCGTACACGTTTACAATGCAGACCAAACGGGTATGGATTTACCATATTATTTTTTAAGCTATTATTTTTAACCGTAAGTTTTAGTGACAATAATATTTTTACCGGTGAACTACGAGTATATTCACGAACTCTATCCGAGCGAGTTAAAACTGTCTGGGCGAAATGTGGAAACAAAGAGAAGGCACGAGCGACTGCCATGCTCTTAGCGGACTGGGAAGGTATCAAATTGCCAACGTTTCTGGTGTTCAAGATTGCCCCGTCCAATATTAAAGAAAAACGCGTCGGGAATGACACGCAGCATCACGAATTCAGTTCGACTATGTGGAATCGCGAAATTCGATCCTTGCAAGAGCGCCACGACTGTCAAATTTACGGTTACCAATGTGCTTGGTGGAATTCAGATTTATCCGTGGAATTTCTAAAATTTCATTTTGCCAACCGACCATATCCTGACGATAACATTCTATTGTTATGGGATGACTTCGGTGGTCACTGGACTGATGTCGAGCAATATGCATTATCTATCAATGTTGTACTTCTTAAGGTACCACGACGCTACACGAATGTCTGCCAGCCAGCAGACATATCGTGGAACAAGCCTCTAAAGCTACTTTCCGCGATCTGTGGATTAATCGACTTCGAGTTCAGCTTAGAGAATACCATGCAGGAGAGCAAAAGCAACAAAAAACGAGATAAACTCCAGAGCGTGATTGTCCGTGTTCGGAAGGAGTTGATACAAGAGAACGCCAACATTGAAGTCGAGCGTCTTCGGAAAGCATATTGAGGAGCCGCTTATTTTAAAGCCACCGAGTCGAGCTGGCATCGTCAAGTGGGTGTCGACATCTTGGACAATCTGTCCAAAAACAAAAACGATTATTAGTGGTTTTGACAAGATTAACCCTTTCGCGATAAAAGGAAGCAGAATGTCCCCTTTTCCTGGTTTTCAACTAAGTACGGCGATGTATCCATGTTAAAGGAGGCAAAATGCCTCCTTTTGATACCGACTATCCTAGATTTGTACACTGTAGTTTACTAAAGTGGCTGGTGGAAGGGTTAACGCTTAGGCGACAAACGGACAGCGGAAGAAGCATCAACTATCGAAATCGAGCTGATAGATAGTAGCAGTGTCGAGGAATTGGAGAGCTGTAGCCTAACTGACGGAAATGGTGACTCAGACGACGGCATCGAAGTCAATGGCGAATTCGACAGCGATAGCGAATAAAATACAGCGTAATTCATAGATTTGTTTTTGTCAAAATTGCGATTTGCACACATGTGTTGGTTCCCATGCTTTGAAATGCATACTATTCAACTGACGCTTATGACTACGACCATACGGTACCCGAAAAACCTTGTCGAAAATACCCGAAAAACCGTAGATCTTGCATTCCGTGTCGAGTATATACAAAAAACCCTTGTCGAGTATAACCAAATAACCTTGACGACAATATACGAAAAACCGTTGACGTGTAAAACCTCGTCGAGTATAACCGAAAACCTTGAGAGAAAAACCTTGTCGAGTATAACCGTCAATCAATCTAGTCAGTTTTCCTTTTGACAAATGGAAGATACGACCCAACACACGGTCGCTGAGAAGATTGAGCTCGTCGTGGGATTAGAGAACATGGATGGAGTGCGGCAGAGGCAGCAAGAAGATTTGGCATCCCACGCACCACGTTACTGGGTTATTTAGACGCTGAAGAACTCCTGTTTTCGACTGAAGTCGATCCAACGTCAAAGCGAGCAGCGCGGCGAGGAGCCCCTCCCCCGACCAAGGCGTTGAATCAGTGGTGGTCAAGCTAGACCATCCCATAAACCAACATATAAGAAATGACAACGGTTGGTTTTGAACCAACATCAGATCAGGGCTTCGCCCTGCGCTCTAGCCATTGGGCTACGTTGTCGTAAGTGTGTGTGTGTGTGTGTGTGTGTGTGTGTGTGGCGTAGGGGGGGGGGGGTCCGGCTGTACAGCCTTAGAACGCGAGGTGAAGATCTACGCAGTAGCGTCAAAAAGTGAAGATTGGGCCATGGCCTTGCTGTCGGCAGCAGTAGTGTGACTGCGTACGGCTAGAAAACGCCGACTGGCTGCGTGTCTGTACACAACAATATGGCACGTTATAATTGGTTGATGACTGCCCAATCGCGTACGTCCATCAATGGTCGGGTACAGCTATCGTTTTTATATCCAGACATTTTCTTTTTTCCGGATCATCACGAATTTCGGCCCCATTTCTTGATTTGCCCTCTAGCTAATACATGGCACTCGTGTGTAAATTCCATGTGTTCTATTTTTTTTTTGCGTTTTTGTCAGCCTACAAGCCGTTCAGTGGTGTTCTCATATTTCTTCCATTGGTGTATATTTTTTTGCATTTGTTGGAATTGGTTTCGTTGTACTACCTCCGTCCCACACGACATTTAACGTTTCTCTTGATGCCTGTTAAATTTTCTAGCAAAAAATCTAAACTTCGCGAAGCATGAAAACATTAGCCAGATGTGCGTGCTTAGTGTTGGTAGCTGCAGCGCTGTATTAATGCGTCGTAAACTGTAGATAACATCGCCGGAATGAGGCGATAATTGAGGCATCTGACCAAAACTTACGCTATGCAATCAATAAAAAGGCTACGTCCACCAGGTTTGCACCATCGACAGATTACACACTGGCCCATCGTTTTGGACGCATCTCACTAAGTAATATATCCTCCAATCGTAACCATTTTTGATTTATAAACCGCTTCAATTTCGAACTTAATTGGACATTAACATATCGATAGGATATTTTCGACCAATCTCCAAGTAGTATTGAATTAGACCAAGTTTTAAGAATGCTAATCCCTGGATTTACCACATCTACACAACAACATCGTCCAAAGCTGCCTTGCCGATGTTTACTGCCTCGCATGAGCATGAGATCTCCTAGCCGAACCCACTTGTCGTTGCCTAGATGTGGAATCTTGTAGGTGTTTCCGCCGCGGTCCAGCATCGCTTGTTTCAACACAGATTGTAGCGTTAGGAATTACTTACTTAGCGTCACAGACTCGAGTTCAACCAAAGCTGACTCCACCGCATCAACTAACTGCTCCATGTTGTACACTCGCTCCTGATATTAAGCTTGAATACTGGAAAAGAAGCCAAGGTCGAGTTCATTAAAGTCGGGGCTACGTGGCGGCTGGTTGTGAAAGGTAGGAATCCCAGTGGCAACTGCCAAAGCTCGGTAGGATGTCCTCTCGATGGCAGGTACGGCCTTCAGCACCTCCTGAATGGCGTCAGGAGTCCACACTCAGGCTATTCCTCTGGCGCTTTCGCGTGGCTCCTTGTCCCTGGCGTGGAACACGGAGCTTACTGTCTGCCGTGTGCAGCTGAAGTACGCAGCAGCGTCGTTAATACAGCCTCGCGGGAGCTTCCCGTCCGTCATCCGCTCTAACAAGAAGCGAATGATGCCTTCGTGGTCTAGACGTGTTGGGTCAGGACCGAGGTCCATGTTTGCGCTTGGGTGTTGCTATTGGTGGGGAATTAGCGAACTGCGGACCGTGAGTTAGTTTCCCCATCAAAAATAATTTTAGCCAGTAATGCTTGAAATGCCGCTCTCTCTTGAGTTTTCTGAAGTCTCTAACAATGTGGGTGATGTTCGAGCGGAAGTAGCAAAGTCTTCGCCGAAATCGTCCTAGCCTGACTCACGTTTAGTAACTCCAAAAGAGAGAAGGGTTGAAATGAAGTAATTTGCGCATAGAATGAGTGCTTTTCAATTGTTGATTGAAAGTTTCAGACGGGTTGTTAGGTTTTGCCGTTCCTGTCGAGATTTCCACACACTGCCATTTAGTATAGCACCCCTCCAACCACTGACCTGGAAAATAGAAGAGAATGCCTGTAACTCGGAGTTAACCTTTCATGATCCAATGCATTGTCGATACGACTATATTTATCCATCAAATTTCGCGCATAGTGAATGCTATATACATGCTTGTATACAGTTTTATTGTCGGGCGCGTTAAATTTCACGCTGTGTTTCCTCACATTTGACGTCACGCAAAAAGAAAAACCCACAAATTAAATATGTTAGATGCGTGTCTGGGGCGAGAAGATCACCAGGCGAGAGAAATCGATCGTTTTTACGTCTATAATGGTTTATCTTTAAAAAAAAAAAGCCACGGTAACTGTTCTTCACTGCAGATAACTTCCACAAAGCAAAAAGACTGCGGAATGGCTTGCGGTCCGACCGTCTCAGACACGAACCTCTTTTCATTCGAACGGAAGCGTGGCTCATGCGGTAAAACAGATGTAGGGAATGGCTCAGACAAACAGCCATAATTTTGGTGAGATTGACAACGAAACGTATCCTGCTTGCTGCGACACGAGACCTGGAGTCATTTGTGTTCACGTGGACACCTCCTTCAAGCTGAACCAAGTCGGGTATCCTGTTATTGTGTGTGACATCTCGGACAAGTGTCGGTGGTTTCATCTTGTGACTCTCTTCATTACGTCCCAACGCTTGTAAGAAATCTACATGTTGACACTAACTGAGCTGCGCAGGGTTTTTGTTTCGGTGTCAGGGCGGCATATGGCCATCAAGTTCATCATGGCGAATGCCGAAGCTGCTCAACAAAACGCAGTGGAGCAAGGTTTTAGTGTGGATTGCGAATTTGTGTACGTCATGTGCTTCAACCACATACTGGCCAACCTGATAGCTTATGCGAGCATGTGATGGGGGACATTTACGACTTTCACTTTGCGGCGGCCTCCGCTGTCTATGGCGAGGAAATGAAGCAAGTGCTGACAAAATATTCACGTGACTAGCAGCTCGTTGTATTTCAAAACTGTATCGAACGCGCACGGGTGACGAGCGCATCTGGCGATGACGATTTTTTCATACACCGAGCGGATACGACGCCACGAACAATCCGATCGAGCAGTTCAACAGGCTGATTAAGCACGACTACGCTCTCCGAACCAAATACAAGATCGGAACATTATTCCAATACCAAGTTGATTGCTGCCAGCACCAATCTGTCGTTCCCAAGGACTTCAAGGAGCTACCGGTGCCTATCCAGCAGCTAAAAGCTCGAGTAAAGATTCCGATGCCAGGAACTCCTTATCGACACGGCTCCACGTCGATCCAGCATTGCGTTCTTGCTGGTTTCTCCAAATCCGACTGTGGTTCGTGTGTTGTCAGGCGACTGTTCTCGCGTTTATCTACCTGAGCTAGGGCGAAGTAGAGAAACAGATCCTGTTTCAGCCCAGATGGGCGCCCAATTACGCTGGCATGGAGATGGAAGGCCAACCGGATGGAGGCTTGAGCGTCGACGTTTCTACGATGACATGTGAGTGCAAGTATTTCTTCAAGTTTGCAATCTGCATTCACCTTCTGTTTGCTCTTCAAGAGAAGAGCTACACTGGATTGGACGGAAAGAAACTCTTGTGAAACGCACGGTGGTGTAGAAGCGTGACCGCACACACCTATTCACTCTTGTTTCCTATTTATGCTTCATGAGAGGTCATCGGTTGCACAAGACGTTGCTGGATAGTGCTGACCTGCTGAGCCTATCGAGTTGACGTTCTGCCAGGGACCTGTATTGCTACCCCTGTCTCAGTTACTTTCTCCATCGGGGAGCTATCTGCAGCTTTATTATTGCTATCCTCGCTCCGACATTGAACTCTCTGCTGAGCTATTGCTGCAACTATAGGAGACGCGGACACTGTGGGAGCAGTAGAGTGCAATTGACGGACTTTATTGTCACAACGGGGGCACAGGATGTGCTGGCAGCGACGACGGGTCTGCCACAAAACGGATGCATAAGCACGAATCACTTTGGGCAGGTGTGTACAGGACCTACGTTGCCTCCATATCCATCACAAGGTGCCTGCGTAGTAGTTTGAGCGCTCATATCTCTCGCTTTTTACTGGAATGTATGCTATGAGAACAGTTGTGCTTCAACGTAGTTACTATGTTAGAGCTCATACTATTTTTGAAGCACAGGAAATCTTTCACACCGTTGTTAGTCTCATAAGATCTTAGTGTGACTAATTTTAAACTTAGACTAAATACCGTAACCAGTGTAGTCGCAAGTCCATGCGCGGGAGCCGCCGTGCCGGTGGTGAGGTCCGAGGTTCGTCGCGCCTTTAGTATTTTTATTAGCTTGAGTTCTTCACTGAAAATTGCTGAGTGAGCTGGCTGACGATTGTTTGGAGAGGCAGCCAGCTCAGATAGGTTCATTACTGGGGGCAAGACCACGGAATGGATGGTCCGTGGCCGCGTCCAACTATCTGGGTTGAGGCCCTGCCGCACGGTCTGTGCCACAGATGGCAAGGGCAGCACGCGATCTGTTGTGGCACGCAGACTGTGCGTGTGCTGGTTGCATTGTGCCTAGAGGCATATATCCAGTGATTACGCATAAGGGATACCCGCATAATCGTAGGCCTAAGCGTCGTTCATTCCTAAGGGTCACCAAGAATTGTCCAATTAGAACACAGTATTGATAACAGATGGAGCAGCTAATTTTGGAGGAAGTAGGACGTAACTTGTGGGTAGATGACAATCGTCGTGCTAATGCCTAGACCACGCATTAACGGTGATGGTCAACGCCCCCGTACTTACTGCAGCGTCTCAGTGGAGTACGCGCACAAGAAAGCAGTGCTGGATCGCATAAGCTAGCACTGCGAACACGAACATGGCGGCTTTTAAAGCGGAAGTGTTGAAGACAATG